ACTAGTCATGTGCCACTTCGTCGACTGTCGGCAGCGGCCAGGGGTGGTGGTTGATTGCTGGCAATGGCTGGGGGTGGATGGGGTGATTTTACTACAAATTAAAGCTTTATATATATGACTCGGGTATTTTAGCAAAAATTCAAATGTAGGGGGTTAAAAGAAATGATTCAAAATAATAATAATAATAATAATAATAATAATAATAATAATAATAATAAATACCAATGTTCTGAAAATCGAACTAGACTATGACCTGTTCAAGGGTGCAGTTTTTGGTTTGACCGGTTGATCGGTCGATTGGACCGTATCCTATAAAATTTTTTTAGTCCCTAAATGTTTGAAATTTATCAAAAACACCCATATAATACTCCCTTAAGGTTTGAAATCTATCCAAAACACCTCTGTCGCGTGAAGAGACTGTGAGTGGTGGCGGCAGCAAAGATCGACAGCCAATCGGAGTTTGGAATCATGGGGCTTTTGATATATAGGTGCTGGCGAATATTATGGTGGTGTTAGAGAGTTCTATCGGACTATAGGTGGACAGTGAGCGATGAAAGGCTAGACGACGGCCACTGAAAATGGATGGGTTTTGTTGTGGAGATGTCTTCAAGTCTAATGATGGTGTTTTCTCCCTCGAACAATGCTGAAATCTGGAGGGATTGAGTTGCGATTGGACTGCGATTTGGCACTATTCCGACAGTCCAACTGTGGCTCAATCTAGTTTGATTGAAAATGCCAATTTTTAGAGGACACCAGACCGGAGATGCCACCGGCTCCAGGTCAAACCAGTCCAACTGGATGGTCCGGTCCAGTTTTCAGAACACTGATAAATACTATTATATTAATATTTAAAAAAGAAGGCAATTTAGTAATCTATAAAACATACCCACCCAATTATCCGCCCAATTAAACATATTATTCACTAATTTATTCGAACCAACCAAATACATTTTCTAAACATTCTAGTAATCTTCAAGGTGATCTATCTTTCCGTTAATATAATATCCCCCTATAATAAAACTTTATATGATCCAAATGCCTCCTTAGGGGTAAAATTGTAACAAAATTAAGATTAACATGTAATCTTAGAATACCTAAAAAAATTGTCGTATTTAGATTACCACTTATATAATCAATAGTAATTATTATTGGTTTTGAAAGATTATCAGAATTTTTTATTACTTGACAACTAAACATGATACTAAGTCATTTGTATGAATAATTATAAATATTCGTCTAAATTGGAAGCCCTTTGAAAGGTTGCCAAGTGTTGAGTGTCTAGATGACTACGAAATTAAAAATAGAAAAGAGAAGATAAGGCCCTCAGGACTCTTGTAATATCAATATTTATAGGATTATTATCCCTTACCTCCTTAGGGCCATTTGGATTAGGGGTAAATAAGATAATGGGAGTAAGCTTCGTTTATTTTGCAAGATTCCTATGTTTGGCTTGCAAGTAATAAAGTATTACGAGAATCTTTTATTGTAAATAGTGTTTATTGTTGGTAATGTGGGGGGTAATCTTATTACTTTGGTAGGGGTTGTTATTACAACATTACTGGGGTAATATGATTTTTCTACTCATTTTGCCCTTAATTAAAAACCATTTCGGACACAATTGCTCTCAAATGTCTACCAAATAACAATACCCAGCCCCCATACATTTAATAATAATAATAATAAATATGTTTAGTTGAGAGGATAAATGGGTGGGTATGTTATATAGATTACTAAATTAGCCTCCTTTTTAAATATTAATATAACAATATTTATTATTATTATTATTATTAATTTGAACCATTTCTTTTAACCCCCTACATTTGAAATTTTTCCAAAACACCCCAGCCATATAAATTTTTAATTTATAACAAAATCTCCCCCACCTACCCCAAGCCGCAGTCGATAGTCGACGGAATGGCCCACGACTGGCCGTTTATGGCTGACCGTGTGCCAAAAAAGTCAGAAATGGCCATAGATCACAAATCCATGGTCGAAAAACGGCCAGATCTATGGCCATTTCACAGCCAAAGATGTGGTCGTGGCCACAGATATGGCCGTGAAAAGACTAGATTCTTGGCCGTGAAACAAGCATAGAAACACTAGAGCTGGCCTTTTCCAGTAGATCCATGGTCGGAAAAGGCCGTATTGGTACACGACCGGCCATATCTCATCGGTTATGCACCATTACGACGATTGATGTCGGTTGTCAGTGGTGGTGAGTCACGGTCGGCGGTGGTCTTGGGTGGCTGAGGGTCTTTTGTTAACTTTTAAACTTTTTTGTGGCTGGGGTGTTTTAGCTAATCTTCAAGGTGATCTTTCTTTCCGTTAATATAATATACCCCTATAATAAAACATTATATGATCCAAACGCCTCCCTTGAGGTTTGAGATATAGTAGTGTCACCTTATGTTTATATATAACAAAGCAACAAATATTATTTTTAGGTTCTGCTTGGGAGTTTTATGGTAGCGGTTTTGAGGGTAAACCACCGTAGCGGTTTTGAGAGACTTTTAGTAACGGTTTTTAAAACCCCCAACCTGTGCTTGGGAGTTTATTTTCTAACGGTTCTGACAGTTTTTTTAAATGATAAATTTACATATATGCCCATAAAGTTAAAACACTCTCTCTTTTGCTGAATTAACTTTGATAAATACAGATAATGTCTACATTATTTGTTTTTATTTTCTTTCTCTCCAATCAAACAAGAGGCTCTCTTTGACAGTTATGATTGCTTCAACAAGTTCCGTTATTGGAGGTCATTAGTTTCAGTTTGCAGTTGTATTTGGTTTGATGGAATATATTTTTGTTTCTTTCTATTAAGATTTGTAATGAAGCTCTTAAGAATAGAAGTTTGTTGTGTTGATTTCCATTACCATCATAATAATGGAGGAGTTGACGTCAAATTCACCACGCATTTTACTTACAATTGCTCTGGTGCCTAGCCAACTCCATAAAATGACATAGGTGGTGTTTAAAGCCCTAACTTGACAAAATGAATGACTCTATAGGTTTGGGTTACGCACACCTCCATTAAAAATCTGACAAGTAATGGTTTTTAAACACCTTAAAACCAGTCTAATTAAAAACTCCCCAAAACCAGTGAAAAAAAAACTCCCAAGCAGACCCTTAGGGTGCGTTTGGTTGGGGATAATGAGAGATTACTAAGGTAATGTCATCTTATACTACTTGATTACCACATTTGGTTGTCAAGTAATATAAGATCTCAATAATCTTTTAAAATCAATAGTAATTATTATTGGTAATATAAGAATTAATCTAATTACCTCTATTTTCTTAGGTATTTTAAGATTACTTGGTAATCTTATTTTTTTTACAATTTTACCCCTTCACCCGAAGGGGGAGGGGGAGGGAGGGGCGTTGGATCATATAATATTTTATTACAAGGGGTATTTTAAGGTCCCACTAGTGGCTTGTGGTGGGTGGGGGTGTGTTTGTTAAGTTTTAAACTTTTTTAGTTGTTGGGCTGTTTTAGCTAAATTTGAAATGTAGGGGGTTAACAAAATTATTCAAAAAATAATAATAAAAATAAACTGTATTTATATTTAAAAGTCGGCAATTTAATAATTTATAAAATATACCTACCAATTTATTCCTCTCAACCAAATATATTAGTATAATATACCCACTAATTTATTCTTATCAACCGAATATATTTTTCTAAACATTCCTGTATTAATCTTAAAGGTAATCTATCTTTCTATTAATATAATATTTTCAATAATATAATATTTCCTGAATTAAACGCACCCTAATCATTAAATTTTATGTTTAGCTTAACTAAAAAAGTTAGGCTTCGTTTGGTTGCCAATTGGGAATACTACTTTTAGTATTCCCAAAAAAGTTAAATAGTAAAATACCCAAAAACTTACAATATTATTCAATATTATTCAACTTTTTTTAAACCCCCTAAATTTGTTAATTTAATTAATACCCCTAAATATTATTTAAAAAATTACAAAAACATCCCAATAATCCACATTTACCAGATTCTGGCCACCACTGCCGGAAAATAGCTAGAATCTGGTAGGATGACGCACTACTGGCTGAATCTGGCCGGTAGTGCACCGATCTAGTGTGGATCTGGCCGTAACCAGTCGGTAACAACGGCCAACAAACGGTGACTTCGGCCATCCTCCGACGGTGGTGGCCAGCTGTCTGTATTTAAGGGTGGGTTGAGGGTATTTTTGTTAACTTTTAATATTTTATTATATGGGGTATTTTATTAATTTATAAATCTTACATCGTAATATCTGTCTAATTAAACTTTTTTCAAAAACTTTTCTCAAAAACATAAAATTGTGAACCAAACGGGCCTTACTGTTTTCATTTCCTATTTTACAAAGGCCTATACAAATTTATTGGAGCGCTCCCTTGCATTTACGTAAGCCAAAAACAGTGTCCCTGTGCCCGTCTCTAAAAAATTGACATGAACCCTTATAACAGTCAATTGTTGACTACACAGACATCATGTTAACATAGACCCTTGGATCATGGTCAAATGTTGACTTAACCTCGATCTAATAGTCTAGATTTTTTTTAATGAAGCCATACAAGTGGGCATTGTATCTTTAGAATCTCATTCATAAAGTAGTTTTGTTGATTTGATATATGGGACCCATTTCCACCTTGCGTTGCGGAGGGTGGGTGAACTACTACAGCTTTTTCACATAATGTATGTTTAAAGAATTAATTAACGCAAAGGTGGGTGAACCACTACAGCTTTTTCACATAATATATGTTTAAAAAATTAATTAATTAATTATTAATTATGAATTATGTGGAGAGACATAATTAATAAGTCCAGCCGTTTACAACAAAGTTATACGGACCCCCCAAAAGTTTCACTAGTCAACGAAAGCGTCTAAATACTTGTGTTCACACTTTTGTCGGACCCACTGGTTTCTTAACACGACAATCAAACATTGTATAGTATACAATCTTATCAATTAAGATGGAGTGAACAAGAAAAAGCTTATGAGATATGGCAGAGTTTCCAGTGGAATTTGCTATAGAAACCTTGTCCTCCTTACTTGTCCAAGAAACCAAGTTGTTGGGAAGTGTAAAGAAAGAAGTTGAAAGCATTAAAAGGGAATTGGAGTTCATCAGATCTTTCCTCAGGGACGCAGATACAAGGGCATCAGCCGCAGAAGAAGGAGAAAGAGAAAGCAATGGAGGTGTTGTAAGTACTTGGGTAAAACATGTAAGGGAAGAAGCTTATCACATTGAAGACATCATAGATGAGTACATACTTAACAAGGCGAAGCATGGGGGCAAAGGTCTCACTGGTTTCCTTCATAAAATGTGTTGCTTCATGAATGAACTTACGGTGCGCCATGGAATTTCATCTGAGATTAAAGATATCAAATCATCAGTTGCTGAGATAAAGGAAAGAGTGGAACGCTATAACTTGAGGCCCATAGATCAGGGATATGTTATACCTCACGACTCTCGAGTTCAATTCTTTTTCATCCAAGACGCTGAACTTGTGGGCATCGAATCTGATAGAGACCAATTGATTGGTTTGTTAGTAAGTGGAACATCTGACCGTTTAGTGGTTGCAGTTGTGGGCGAAGGAGGACTTGGCAAGACCACTCTTGTCGGGAAAATTTATGAGAATGATAAGAGTGAAGAAGCATTTCGATTGCCAGGCTCGGATCACGGTTGGGAAAGAATGCACCAAAATGGATATACTAAGAAAAACTATACAAGCATTTGAGGGTGTGACAGGGTCTACTCATGGAGAGATGGACAAAATGGAAGAGAACGATCTGCTTGCCACACTGCAGGGAAAATTAAAAGACAAGTGTTACATGGTTGTGTTCGATGACGTGTGGAAACCTGATTTTTGGGGATATATAGAGTACGCTTTAATTGAGAACAACAAAAGCAGTAGAATTATGCTCACAACCAGAAACAAGGACGTTGTTGAGCGGATTCCTCATGTTAAAATCCACAGGCTACAACCCTTGCCTTCAGATAAGGCTTTTGAACTTTTTTGTAGAAAGGCTTTTGGTCCTCAGAGGTGTTGTCCCCCCGAGTTGGAGAAACTGTCTTTTGACATCCTTCGGAAATGTGGAGGTTTACCACTAGCAATTGTTACCGTAGGTGGTCTTCTCTCAAACAAGAACAAGGTTGCCTTTGAATGGAAAAAATTACTTGAAAACTTGGGGTCACAGTTGGGAAGCGATTCCCATCTCAAAAGAGTTTTATTAGAAGGTTATTATGGTCTACCTTACCATCTCAAACCTTGTCTCTTGTATTTCGGTTTTTTTCCAGAAAGCTACGAAATCAATTGTGCAAGACTGATTCGCCTATGGATTGCTGAGGGCTTTGTCCCTTATTCCCAATGTCCCACATCTGAACATTGTGCTGAAAAATTCTTGAATGATCTCATTAACAGAAGCTTGGTTCAAGTGGTAGAGACGGATTTCAGTGGAAGATCACCCAGATATTGTCGAGTCCATGATCTGATGCATGAGGTTATCCGTGGAAAGGCCAAATATTGGGGCTTCTCTCATTTTATGAACAGAGAACACTCAAATCTCCCTAGCAAAATTCGACGCATTTCAATACAAGGAAGTATCAATAGTGTTCTTGAGAGCATCAGAGACTCAAAGATACGTTCTGTTTCTCTTTTCAATGTTGATAATATGTCTAACTCCTTCATGACTACACTTATTGTGGATTTCAAACTTATAAAAGTACTTGATTTTGAAGATAGTCCTATAGAGTATCTTCCTAAAGAAGTGGGAAACCTCTTCCATTTGCACTACTTAAGTGTGAAAAATACAAGAGTAAGTGTACTTCCCAGGTCCATTGGTAAGCTTCTCAACTTGGAGACATTGAATTTGAAGCGATCTCTTGTGAGTATGCTCCCAGTTGAAATCAAGAATCTGAAAAAATTGCGCTATCTGGTGGCATACATTTCGGGCGAGTATTGTACTTATGGAAGAGTAGTGAAAATACCCGAGGGCGTTGGTTCTTTAATGGAGCTGCAGAAGCTATTTTTGGTGGAAGTTAACTTTAAGGAACTCAAAGAGCTTACGAAGCTAAGGAATCTGAGAAAGTTGGGAATTAGGGTCACAAATGGAAATGAAACGGATCCATATGCTTGCATTGGAAATTTGGAAAAACTTGTATGTCTGTCTATAGAGGTGACAAGTAGAGAAGAAATTCTTGATATAGAATCGATGACTTCTCCTCCGGTAGGTCTTGAACGCCTCTACTTAAAAGGAAATATGAAGAAACTGCCAGATTGGATTTTTAAACTTGAATATATTGTCAGAATTGGTTTGGAATTGTCAGGATTAACTGATGACCCCTTAAAAGTCCTTCAAACCCTGCCTAATTTATTGGAGCTTATGTTGTGGGACACATGCCATGATGAGCAATTACATTTCAAAGAAGATTGGTTTCCAAAGCTAAAAATTTTGGACCTCATTGACTTAAAAGGAGTGGAATCGATGATTATAGACAAAGGTGCAATGCCTAACCTTGAAGACTTACGTATTGGACCGTGCCCTCGGTTGAAAGAGATTCCAATTGGAATTGAACATCTAAGAAATCTAAGGATTCTTGTGTTTCGTCGTATGTTGAAAGAAATTTATTACATGATAAAAGACGGGAAATGGAAGGAAGTTACTCAACATATACCGGAAATCCGTGTCACTTTCATAATGAATGGAAAAATGTTTTATCACACTACTAAGCATCTCTCGTCTGTTTTGCCTGAGGATTTTGAGAATTATATGAAAGAAGTGAAATAACAAGTCATCTCATCTATTAATCGCAGGTATTTCATTTAAATTATATAAGACTTAGTGTGGTCTTGATTTTATATCTCCTGTCCAACTTTAAAAGTTTTTTTTTTAGCTATATTAGGTAACGATATTGGTATCAAAATAATTCAATTTTAACAGTCTATCTAAATCTACAATTATTTTTAGCGATATATGCGACATTTGGCGGGGATCGTACTGAGAAAGTTTGGGTGGTCGCACTTTCTTGATCAGATCTCGGCCAAATGCAATCATTTTTTTCAGTTTAAAATTATATAGATAGATAGATTGTTTAGAGACAATCATTTTATTATCAATGTTGTTACTGTGACTAGTTGATGAATTTCTAATGCATATTAATGCTTTAAAATCGAATATTAAGTGAGGTATGAGTCTTTTTGTTATCCTGTAAATAACTAAGGTTTGTGTTTCTTCTATTATCATGAACAGAAGAAGTGTCTTGGATTGTAAGAATATCGTGATTGAATCGTCCTCCACATGAATAAACCAGGTAATTCCAGGATTTTATGTACTTCTTTCTTGTGAAGGGTGTAGTATTGCTGGCAATATCTGGCAATGTGTGATTGTTGTGTTGTCTGGGTAATGGTAGTAGAGATGAAGTATTACTTTCAGCTGTTCATCAATTTTCTTGTGTAATATGTAAAATACATTTGATTTGGCATGTTTCTTCAACTTTTGATTGGCTGATGTTATTGTAATGGTTGTTTTGTTTGTTAATTTACGTAAACCATGTTGTTTTATTTCTTATCTTGGGATTTTTCTCTTTCAACGGAAGTTTATTGGTGGCTATTTCCATTTGAAGTTCAAGAAAGTATGACCCCTCTGCCAATAGTAAACAACTCTCCTGATTCACCATGTTTCCATTTATTGGGTCTGTTTTATTCTATGAATCTGCATGTACTTGATTTAATTGTTTTATATCATGAGCTATGCGTATTCCATTTTCTTTTTGTTGGCTTAAAGATATTTTCTTTCTAAATCGGATTGTACATTTTTAATATCAAGAATTTTCAACGAAATAGAAATTTAAGTACTTAGTTTGGCAGCTGAGAAATTGTGGGACAAGTTAAAGAAAGTATAACTGTTCTACTAGTTTTGGATTTTTTTTGCAAGTTTGTATTTTAAAATGACTTCGCCAATAAAAAACAAGAGTCCCCTGTTAACAAAATCCTCACAAATTTCTCCCATCCAGAACATCTTCTGGTTTGAGATGGCTTGCCAGACGTGTGCCTGGTGTTATTTTTCTCAAGAAGTAAATGCCAATTTTTTTTTTTTTTTTTAAAAAAAAAAAAGTTCTGAAGGTAATGTTATGAGACTTTTGAACCACAAAATTGTGCAACTTGTGTGAAGAAACTTGTCATATCTCTTGTGATTATGAGCTGTTAGCCTGTTACTTGCTCAATGATTAAAATAGCTCTTCTAATTTAACTTTTGTCTTAAAGAAATATTCTTCTGCAATAAAAGGTCTAACCACAATGACATTATAGAAGGTCTAACCACAATGACATTATAGAAGACTATATATCCCCTGCACTAAATCAAATATATTAATTCATTATTAATCAAAAAATAGGGTGCCTTGTTTTTCAAATTAATGGTCTCTAACTATTCTTCAGTCAGCATGTTTTCATAAAGATAAGATAAAGTCGCTTGCACTTAACGAATTTTATTTGTTAACAAAAGCGCTTAAAATAAAATTACCCCTAATTTGTATCTGCACATACCCACTGGTTTCCTGAAACAAAATTTTAATGTACACACAACAATGTATCCATGAGCAAACATCTTAACATGGAGTGATCAAGAAAAAGGTTATCAGATATGGCAGACTTTACAGTGAACTTTGCTTAGAAACCTTGGGTACTTTTCTTGTCCAAGAAACCAAGTTGTTGGGAAGTTCAAAGAAAGAAGTTGAAAGCACCAAAAGTGAATTGGAGAGCAGCAGCCGAAGAAGAAGGAGAAAGCAATGAAGGAGTCTTGACTTGGGTAAAGTAAAACAAGTGAGGGAAGAAGCTTATCCCATTGAATATGTCATTGGTGACATGTTGAAGGATGCAAAACTTCCTCATGGCAGTGGTCTCATTCGTTTCCTTCAGAAAAATGTGTTGTTTCGTCAATGAACTGAAACTATACCGTATTTTCCTTTGGGTGTAAGGACGTCCAGTATTAGAATAAATTATTTGAGTTTCCTGGAGATGCTGTAAAAGCTAGCCTTTGTCTGAGTGTTCATTGACCAACCTTTCAGACATTTAATGCTCAATGTTGGACTGGGTTCAATGAAATAAGATGAAAATTTTGGGATACTGTTTAATTGTGTTGCGATGGTGGAGTAATCCCTAAATAGATTCGACCCATTGAAATTAACAACTACCATTGGGCAAGTCCATATGGTATACAAAAGAGGGCCCGTATTGGAAGCATTCTACATCAGTCAAATTGATTCCAGTTTAGTTAAGGGAATACGTTACTTTATTTAATAGTCCAAACTTTCCCAACATAATACCATATCCATTATTATAGATTTATTTGTTTAAATATATATGTGTTTTCAAAGTTTGCATATACGATAGGATGTTGGCGTGTCACTTTTGAAAATTGACCTCCACAGATTTATTTCTATGGGCTAGTTGAATAATTTAAAAAAAAAAAAAAGTTTCTTACAACGATTATTCTCTTTTAAACCTTTGAATTATGGTTTAAAATTGATTGGTCGAAACCAATTAAGAGTTAAAAAGAAACGTAAATGATTGAATTATGGTTAAGAAAAGAACGTAAATAAACTCAACAATATTTATTATTAATATTTGATCTATATATAAAATAATATTAATAGCATCTTCTACATTTATAATAAGAAGGAAAGAGCAATAACTAAGTTAAGAAAAAATGACTGTAAGGGGGCGTTTGGTTAGAGGTTATGTGGGATTAATGGGGTTAAGTTATCTTATATTACTTGATTACTATGTTTGGTTTTCAAGTAATATAAGATACCAGTAATCTTCAAATACCAATAGTGGTTACTATTAGTAATATTAGAGATAATCTAATTATCTCAATTTTCTTAGGCATTCTAAGATTACTAAGGTTATCTTTTTTTGTTACAATTTTATCCCTTATTAATAAAAATTTTGGACAATAATGCCCCTATTTTAAAATAAATTTACATTAATATCCTATTTCAATTTTACCCTTGTTTAATTAAAATTTTGGATAATAATGCCCTTATATTTAAAACAATTTACAGACCACTACTGCCATCCAGCCACCATCACCGACAGTGGGCCAACCACCATGGATCGCTGCTGGAGAGTCGTCGGAGTCCCTAAAAAAGAACGAGATTCGGTGGGAGGCTCCGGAGGCTTCGATATGGCTGTTTCTGGCCATATCAGGCCTGATCTGGCCGGAAACGGGCAGATCTATTTTGGCCATTCCCAGCTGTTTCCAGCCAGAATAGATCTGGCCATTTTCGGCAAGATCTGATCTAATATGGCCGTTTACAGCCATTAATATGGCCAGAAACGGCCATATCGGAGCCTCTTGGTCACGGTGAGCTACTCATGGAGACTTTCGGCGGTGGTTTGCGGTGGCGGCAGGCGGCGGCCAGAGGTGGGGGTGATTTCATCGTAAATTAAAGTTTTATATAAGCAGGGGTGTTTTAGCTAAATCTGAAATATTGGGAGTTAAAAAATCATTCAAAAATTAATAATAAAAATAATATTATATTAATATTTAAAAAGGGAACAATTTAGTAATTTAAATAACATACCCACCAATTTATTCCCCATAACCAAACATATTAATATAATATACGCACCAACTAACCAAACACATTTTCCTAAAGATTTCCAGTAATCTTCAAGGTAATCTATCTTTCTAGTAATCCAACATTCCCTGAACCAAACGCCCTTTAAATATTAGACATATTTATTGTGTAGTATCATTCATTGTATTGTAGACTACTTTATGATTTCGATTCTTCTAAACTATCTCATCAATACTATTATGCTAATTGAATTTGCTATAGTGTATAAAACATGAAAAGCTCAATCATGTCATCAATGAAACGTGAAAAATTACTCGATCTTATAGTAACATGAAAAATAAAATGCAAGCATAATTCATATTTATTTCTACACCTATATATTCATTTGAGATGTGGAAGGCAATTAAAATCAATAGTAAAAAATTTACGATCAACAGTCAATAATTTACGAGGTTGTATCTTCACTATACCATGACTAGCAACGACAATCTCCACATGTTTGTGTTGAGTCTCTTGGCCAAAAGATCATTAACATACTAGGTTTTGTTGATGATACTCCTAATCAAGAACTACAAGAAGTTTAGAGCGAATGATTTAAAAAAGACTATGAAATTGTGGGTTCTTGCAATGGGTTAGTATGTCTTTATTATGATGTGGATTATTCTTTGTACTGTTTTCTTGGTCTTTATATCAGTTTTTGTCTTTATATCAGGTTTTGTTGACTGGTTTTTCAATAATAAGGTTAGAAGATTGCTTTCTTGACCTATATATTTTGTTTTTGGCTTTTGTTTTTGAAGGTTGTAAGTAGGGATGGCAACAGGGCAGGGCAAGGCTGGGGATCCCGTTCCCCCTCCTTGCTTTGTCCTTGCTACAGGAATGATGGGGAACCCTGTCCTCGCTCTGCAAGGAAGGGGTGATCCCCTTGCCTTGCCTCGCCCTACGGGGAATTAAAATTCACACCAACCGGATTAAAATTCACGTTTGAGTGGTAACTTTTTGGGAACTAAGGCAATGGTTTGCCACTTGAGATTAAATTTGTGGATAGACTTTAAAAATTTCCCTTTCAGTGGGTCTAATTTTCAGAGGAATGGATGTTTTCTAAATGGTGCTTTTGTTGATTTACATGAAATGAAACAGAGAAGAGTGTATTTGGGAAAGAATAATGATCCACACGTTTATTGATGAGTAAGGTTTCTTTATATACAACAAGATAACCATAGTTAACTACTAACTTGAGTTAACTAAATTGACTAAGTTAAATAACTGACTAACAACTTTACTAACAGACTAAACTGAATGTATTAATAAAACTAAAACAAACTAAACAGTTAATACATATTTAATACTTCCAATACCCCCCATCAAGTTGGAGGGTCGTAAAGATCCAACACTCCCAACCTGTGTAGCAAATGATGATGAGGATGCTTCCTGAGAGCCTTGGTAAAGATGTCATCTGGCTGCTCAGATGTTGGGATATAGGCAATACAAATGAGGCCAATTTTAAGCTGCTCTCTGACTATGTGGTAATCAATATCAATATGTTTGGTCCTCTCATGAAACATGAGATTGGAAGCAATGTAAGTGGCTGCTTGATTATCACAGTGAAGGGGAATAGGAACCAAGTTAGAAAACCCAAGTTCTTTAAGAAGCTGGACTACCCAAATGATCTCACAAACTGTAGAGGCCATAGCTTTATACTCAGCTTCAAAGGAAGACTTAGAAATGGTCGCCTGTCGTTTTGATTTCCAGGAAATCAAGGAAGAGCCAAGGAAAATGCAGTAACCATAAACTGATTTCCTAGTCATGAGGCGAGAGTCCCAATCAGAGTCACTATAGGCAGACAAAATTAGGGAGTTAGTTGTAGGGAAAAACAAACCCAATCCTGGAGCTAATTTTACATACTTCACTACTTTGAGAGCTACTGTCATATGGGATTGCTTAGGCTGATGCATGAATTAGCTCAGCAAGTTGACTGAGAAACTAATATGAGGTTTGGTGATGCACAAATACAACAATTTCCCAGCTAACCTCTGATAAACTGAAGGATCTGGAAGGAGAGGATCAGGACCAATAGAAAACTGACTATCATAGGCTGTAGAAGTGAGCTTCAAATTGGATTCCATAGGAACAGTAGAAGGCTTAGAAGCTGCCAAAC